AGCAGTCAAAGAGCGGTTGCAAACACGAGGTATTCCTATTGATCCTTCTTGTAGTGCATYTGCTACGTGGGTTCCAYAAAGCATTTMCCATGTTCTCTTCAATTGTCATATTGCAAAGTTGACATMGGAAGCCTCCAATATACCTTTACCTCCGTCAGGTTTCTCCACRAACTCWGTATTCTTGAATATTCATCARTTGTTGGCTTGTAGCCAAAATCAGACCTTGACCCCAAGGATCAGATATGTGTTTCCTTGGATTCTTTGGCATTTGTGGAAAGCTCGTAATGCACTCACCTTTGAAAATGTAAGATATGATCCCCTATCCATCCTCTCCAAAGCAATGGAAGATGCGACAGCTTGGTACAGTCTAAACATTTCTGTTCACAGGAACCCAATCGCCGAGAATCAGGGCCCTCCCATGCCGGTCTTCCGGARAAATTGGCTCAAACCCCCTCTGAACTTGATTAAAAGTAACGTGGGGGCTATATGGAGTAGTGTGAACAGGGAAGGAGGGGTTTCTTGGATTGCAAGAGACCACACCGGTAAAGCTTTGTTTCACAGCCGAAGGTCTTATGCCTTCCTTTCATCGGTCATCGAAACAGAACTTTAGAGCCTCATGTGGTCGATTGAATCCATTAGAGACCTCAGATTTCATAGGGTTATCTTTGAAGCCAACTTTTCTCAAGCTAGGGATGCTCTTTTACACCCTCATCGCTACCCTCAGTTTAGCTGGCTGTTGGATCGAATTGGTCTTCTTCTCCGGTCGTTCTTCTGGTGGAGTTTGAACCACACCGTGGAATCTGGTAATCAGGTGGCGATAGCGATTACGGAGAGTGTAATCTAAGACGGTCGCCACCAGTCTTATATTGCGAGAAACGGTCCAAACTGGCTTCACCAAATCATCACATCGGAAGCCACGGTGGCTTAGTGTACCCTTGAGACCAGGCCTTCTATGATTGTGGGTGGGTTTATTATTTGTTGAGATTTTGTAAGGTGCCTCTTGATATCGTGTTAGTGTCTCTGTTTTTAGAGTTTATGTCCTCCTCTGGTTCTGTTTTATATTCATCATACTTTGTTTCAGATAGTTGAATAAACGAAAAGCATTAAAAAAAAAACTCTTGTAAGAATTTTTAGAAAACACACACTACCATCTATATGACTCATCCATTTATGGCCATCCACGGTTCACAAATCCATTGTATCCAAATGTCCTCTCGACCATATATGGTAGAAACATCATTCCTGAAAATTTTTCCAGATATGAAAATTTTCCCAAATCCATTGATATCCTCTCCCATCCGTCATCTCCATATCTGAAAAAATTGGAAGACTAATTAGAAAGAAAAATCAATCTGAGTTCGAATTCATCTCGTCTATTGCTTCATTGTTTCTTTGTTGCCTCTGCGTCACCATGGATTCACCGATGAAATCTTGTGCATATCGATGCTTGCTTCTTTCTTAGTTTCTTCTCTCCAATTGTGTTTGACTGCCTAGTAGACTCGATTGACATGTTATCCCAAACCCTCCACATGATGATCCATGAACAGTGGGAGATTTGTTTCAATG